TGTGGATATCGCCAAAGTGAATATTTGTCCACGTAGTTGGCGATTCTGACCAGAAATTTGGTTTGGTCCAGGCTCTGTCGGGGTTGAAAAGGGTGATTTGGCTCCATCGATGCTTATGACCAATTTCTGGAGTGGATAAATAACCGGGATCAATACCCTTTACGTGCTTTCTCGCTCCGTCCGTCATGTTGAATTAGTGTTTCTTGCCGCCGACCAAAATAATTCCTAGCATGCAACACGCGCTTTTGTCAACAATGAAACTTTCCTATAATCTGAGGCCTTGACAATATATGAATAACAAGTGTCTTTGCTTAAATTAAAACTCATGTCGTTAGTCATGACTTTGTGTACAAACTGTGCCTTACAAATAAACTTGCCTCCCCTCACCATGCCACAGCAACAGCTACAAAACAGATGGAACTCCATAGACCAAGATCCTTTGGTGTTGTCAGTGCAGACTATGTGAAAAAATAACTGTTATTAAGCACTTTAAAATCTTAATTCTTCATTATTATAACAGTACCAAAGGTGTTTCAAGGCTTTTAAAAGGAATAGGGAGCATATTCATATACAGCTTTGTTTTAGCTTCCACAGATATTGCAGTAAATATTGAACCGTGAGATGCATATCGTAAAAATATCGTATCAAGGGGTTTTGATATCTTTATATCTTTACTGATCATTCAAAATATGAAAGCTGGAGCAGTGTTTTGCGGGGTCAGCATTTATCTTGTGTACATTTTTTGTTGTTGTTTTGGGATATTTGTGGTTATTTTTTGACTATATGAAAAGATTTGAGCTGTAGAAGGTTGAGATAATAATTTATATGACTCATTACAGATGCAAACTAAGAACTGCAGTGTTTCATTTTGTTATTTATTCATTGCAGTTTGTGTGTTTTTTTGTTTTTTTTTGTTTCGTTTTTTGTATATATTATAGATTAGATTAGATAGAACAGTTTTGTGGTTTAAATCTGCTTTTATGTTTTTGTGTCAGTTTCAGCTTTATATTTACTTCAAGAATGTAGTTGTAGACATTTAAAGGTGCACTGTGTAACTTTTTGGTTGGGGGTCCATCACCTGCTTGTTTCTATGGACATGTCATTGCTCCACCTGGAATGTTCCACAGTGTGACATTAAACAGCTGTACCTTACATTTATTCAATTACAGGTGGTTTTACTGCTCAAAAATACTCAAAAAACAGACATCGTGACTCTGAGGGGGGTCTCCTCTCCACAGATCTGACCTGTAACATGATCTGGTTTGGTCTGCATGATATTAAAACAGTTTAATGCCATATTGTGAAACATGAAACCAAAAAGTTACAGAAAAGTGACACAACAGGCCTTTAAAAACAGAATACAAACATTTACAAAGTTCTTGAAAGTGAAAAGCTTGTGTTTAATTCCACAGTGATGCCATCTCTTGGGGTTCTTGTCTTGGATCTTCATTGCCTGTTTATGTTGTAGAGGCTTCGGTGTGCAGGCTGGGCTGGGCTTTGTGGCCATGCTGTGATGAAATGTGAGAGATGTGAGAAAATCATTGCATGCACGTCCGACATAGCAGCGTGCTGTGCTAACTCCTCCTCATAAAAAGGAAAGAGTTCAGATTAGAGTTGACCTTCTAACATACATTTTATCTTCCTGCTTAAAAGTGCACTATGTATGAGGTCCATCACCTGCTTGTTTCTATGGAGATGTCACTGCTCAGCTTGGAATGTTCCACAGTGTGACATTAAACACCTCTGCTGTTCATTTACTCAATTACAGATGGTTTTATCTCCAGAATCCCTAGAAAAACCTGTAACATCTCCACGGAGAAAAGCATGTGACGAACCCTCCACCAGAAAAGTTACACAATGCACTTTTAAAATAACTGCATAATCTAAGTGTTAAAAAAAGGTGTTAAAAAGTGTTTTAAAAAAGTGTTTTTAAAAGAAGTGTTAAAAAAGTGTTTTAAAAAGTGTTTATAAAAAGTGTTTTTAAAAAAGTGTTTTTAAAAAGTGTTTAAAAAAAGTGTTAAAGTGTTAAAAAAAAAACAAATCTGTTAAGTATGTGTATGAGCTGTGTGATATAGATAGACACTGTGGTTGGTGTCTTGCCCAGGGACACAATGACAGCCTCCCCTCCATCATATGGTGTATGTGACTGTATTACTGTTGTTCAGTTGGGCTGGGAAATGATGTGGAGCTGCATCAGAACAAGTGTCAGAGCACATAGACTAGTACACACACATGGACCAACATGAACCTACTGCCCCACTGACCATTACACACATATAACACACATTGGACGTAACAAGACGTAACCTGACTTTGAATGTGAAAAAAACAGTTTCTCTTTGTTTTTCAGTGTGTACACAAATAAAAAACTGTGACTTTGAAGTGACTATGCACAATGAGAAAATTCAAGCAGTCAGTGAAGTTAAATACCTTGGCCTCATTCTAGACTCTAGAAGTTCAAATTTACCGATCACACAAAATACTTGGCAAAGAAGATTAAGACTAGTTTCAGTTGCTTTCATTTCATACGTAAAGATCTATCGCTCCACACCTCTAAACTATTCTTGAATGCAATGATCTTCTCTCATCGATCTTATTGTATCATGGTCCCAGGCCTCCTCAACTACATTGAAACTGCTTTGTTCATTATACAAACTGACCCTTAAGATCCTTGACAAAAAGCCCAAACACTGGCACCACTGTGAAACTACAAAGAAACATCAACTTTTTAACTTAGAAAATGTTATCAATTTTAATAATCTTAAATATTTTTTTAAGTGTCTTAACTGCGATACACCATTACACTCAGAATTTGCCAGGACCATAAAATGTTCACACAGAGCGAACACAAGAGGCGCTGCTAGTGGTGATTGTGTTGTTCAGGTACAGGGGTCTCTTGGTCAGTCCTCTTTCTCTTTTAAAGGGGCCACTCTGTGAAACGATTTACCAGCTCATTTAAAATTGGAAACCAACAACAACAAATTTAAAAGGAAATTAAAATTATTGTATGTTTCCAATCAAAGCTGCATCCACTGAAAATGTACTGTATATAATTTATCTGTATGTAATTTATGTGTCTTGTATTCTCTGTTTTTATGCGTGTAGTTTATATTTTTATAGGGACAGGTGTTCAAAACTAGCACTTGTGCTAAAACACTCAAAGTGTACAATACAGTGATACAATACATATTGCGATACATAGGCCACGATACGATACATATCTCGATACAGTGAGCTTACGATTTGATATAATTCAATACTATATATTTCAAATCAGTTCGATATGGTCCAATAAAAAATAATGTCTAAATCATGGCTGTGACACTAAAAGTCTTTGTTAAACCATTTCTTGTGCAAAGTTCATATGAAACACAAACATTTACATCCTCAAAACAGTGAAAATGTCAAATGTGTCACATAAACAAGTTTCTTTCCACTAAAGAAACAACAAAACTGTAGCTGTAACAAAATAATTTTGTAAAATAAACCAAAAAATGCTCTTGGCGATATATCGTTACAGCAGCCCACGATATTGATACTGTATCATCACATTAAACGATACAATATATCAATATTTCAATATTTCTGCACCTAGTTTAATGTGACGATACAGTATCGATATCAAGGGCTGCTGTATCGATATATCACCAAGAGTATTTTTTGGTATATTTTACTAAATTATTTTGTTACAGCTACAGTTTTGTTGTTTGTTTAGTGGAAGGAAACTCATTTATGCGACACATTTGACATTTTCACTGTTTTGATGATTAAAATGTTTGTGTTTCATATGAACTTTGCACAAAAAGTGGTTTAACAAACACTTTTAGTATCACAGCCATGATTTAGCTTTTATTTTTATTGAACCGTATCAAATCGATTTGAAATATATCGTATCGAATTGAAAGTGCACTGCATAGAGATATGTATCGTATCGTGGCCTGTGTATTGAGGTATGTATCGTATCAGCAACTTCTTAATGATACCAGCCCTGCCGCTAACTAACTGGTATATTCAACTTTTCCCAAATCCTGTAGGAAGAAGGACAATAACGTCTTTCCCCTTGATAAAATTCACCAAACATTCTCTTTGTTCTGGCTTGACAAACCCTCCGCCAGAAAAGTACCACAATGCACCTTTAAAAGAACTGCATAATCTATAAAAGAGTGTTAAAAATACATTAGTTTTTACATTGATCCTCTGCAGGGACACTCGCTGGGGGGGTTCTTTCTGTATGTACTAGTATCTCTATGGTGGAATGTTCAGTAGTTACCATGGAGACACAACGCACACTTTAGCACACACTGTTGAAAAAGTTTTAAGATTGTCTGAAAACTCAAGAAACAATACAAAATGGATTTAAACAGCACATTCTCTGGAGCCTGTGATGAATGCGACAGTTCATGGTCCAGTTTAAGAGTTTAATTTTCAACTAAAAAATGACTGTGACTAACTGAAAAACTGTTGGCTCAATTGTAGTTTTGGATAAACCACTTCTTTATTGACAGATTGTGTTAAATTAAAACTCAGATAAAGTCTAACTTGAGTAACAGATCTTCAGACAGAGCAGTGCCTCTAGTTCCTCATGTCACAGTCGAATGTTGATGACATCAGCTGCAAAGTATCAAACAACAGTTTTGTGATCTTTTATGAAGCTACAAAAACATGTGCGTAAACGTTCCAATTGAGGTTCAAGTTTCATACAAAACATGACTAAAGGAATGTTCCACAGTACGGCATTAAATGTGATCTAGCTTGCATTTACTCAGATACTGGTGTTTCATTTTATTGATAAACAGACGTACAGATCTGACATGTACCTCGGGCTGTTCTACTTCTACATGAGATCCATACATTCTAAAGACTGGATCAGACAGAGCAGTGCCTACAGTTAGCATCACACCTCCAGGGAATATAGATGACATCAGCTGCAGAGTATCAGTTGTAACCTTGTACATATGTGTATTGTGTGTTTCTAATGACACTTTTGTGGTGTGTTGCAGAAGGAGCTGAGTCTTCCTCGCAGAGGGAACATGTGAGTATGAAGCTCTCGTCTGTCAGCCGAGCGTGCCCACACCTCTCTGACCTCTTCTACTTTTACACATGTGCACACCAGCCTCATGCTCGCTTACATTTACTTAAGGAACTTTAAAGGTTGAGGGTCCATCACCTGCTTGTTTCTATGGAGATGTCACTGCTCAGCCTGGAATGATCCACAGTGTGACGTTAAACAGCTCTACTTTACATTGATTCAGTTACAGCTGGAAATACTGCTCAAATATCCCTAGAAAAACAGACATTCTGACTGTGAGCGGGGTCGCCTCTCCACAGATCTGACCTGTAACTGGTCTGGTTTGGTCTCCATGAAGATAGAAAGGTTTAATGCCATACTGTGAAACATTCCAGGCAAAACAAGGACTGCAGATGGATGAATGTTTTCTATGCACTGTCCTTGTTTTAAATAAAATAAAATAAAGTTAAATAAAATGAAATGAAATTAAAGCATTTGATGAACCCTCCACCAGAAATGTATATATATATATATATATATATATATATATATATATATATATATATATATAATATATACTTTTCAGGGTACTTTTATAGCAACATACTTCTTCTCCTACTTGAGTAATATTTTTATTGAAGTAACAGTACTCTTACTTCAGTAAAAGTTGTTCCCACTGTGAGTGAGTCTAAAGTGACAAAAGCTTTATGTGACAATCTGAAATGATTTGAACACTGAATATGAACTGTCTTTTGAAAATACAATTTTCAAGGATTTTGTGCATTATTTAATGTTTTGTCCTTCAAATTACATGAACTTCAAATTATAAATGAGATGATCCTGACAGTTCCTCTTTTAATATTAATAGTATTTTTTATACTTGAGTAATTTCTTTGACCACTACTTTGTATTTCTGCTTGACTAATATTATTCTGAAGTGGCTCCTGCAGCCGTCTGTACATGTGTGTTGTTAGTGGTGAAATCATGCTGCTTTAAATGTTGTTGTTGTTTGTGACATTTTGACGTTTTTGAACTTGGAATGCATGAAGACTACTTTTTATGTTTGTCCTCCAGTCAGAATTTTCAGAATTGGTACATTTCATCTTAGATTTTCTTTTTGCTCCAATTTCAATATCACATTAGAATTATTTCAAGTTGACATGAAATCTGAGCTCTGTTGTCTCTGGATAACATTTTGAGCACAGTTTGTACTTTTGTGGCTTGGTGGCACTGTTGCTTCACTATTTTTACGACCACTGCAGTTATTCAGAACACAGCTTGGAATAGAGTTGCCAGAAGTATCGAAAATCAGGTACTAATCGATACTAAAACCAGATACTCATTTGAGCAGGTATCGATACTAAAAAAGTCACATTCACAGACAGAAATGAAGCTTCCTGAATAGTTTTCGAATGATGTTGAGCTGTATCAGAACAAGTGTCAGAGCACATAGACTATATACACACATGGACCAGTATAGTATAGTATTTACTTCCTCCCACTCCTTTTTCGGACACAAGGAAAATTCTGCGTAACATTTATTTTGCCTGTTATTATAGAATAGAAATAGTTACTTTTTGTGTTATATCTATGTATTTACGTTTTTGCCTTTTTTTTTATTATTTAGTTTTTTGTTTTGTTTTTTAATTTATGTTCTATGTATTACTGTCCGAAATAAATAAATAAACAAAAAAAACTAAACAAAATAGAACCTACTGGACCACTGACAATTACACACATATAAGAGCATGTGGGGATAGAAAAGACAGTTCTATGATTTAACATTCAAAATCACATTCTCTTGTCTAAAGAAAGAGTATTTTATATTATCATTATAGTAATAATCACTTTTATTGAGTATCGAGTCTATTCCTTACTAACTTGACAACTCTAGTTTGTCATAAAGTATTATATACTGTCAGTGTTGGGGAGTAACAGATTACATGTACCGGTGTTGTGTAATCAGAGTACAAATTATGAGTAACTGTATTCAGTTACAGTTACTGTTTCAATTAGTGGTAATTAGATTACAGTTACTTTGTTGAAGTAAATGGATTACATGGAGGTATTTTCACATTTTGGGCTAAACTAGGACTAAAACCAGAACTAAAACCAGGACTAAACTAGGACTAAACCAGGACTAAACTAGGACTAAATCCAGGACTAAACCAGGAATAAACCAGGTCTAAACTAGGACTAAACCAGGACTAAAACCAGAACTAAAACCAGGACTAAACCAGGACTAAACTAGGACTAAAACCAGAACTAAAACCAGAACTAAACCAGAACTAAAACCAGGATTAAACCAAGTGTAAACCAAGTCTAAAACCAGGACTAAACCCAGACTAAACTAGGACTAAACTAATACAATATGACACTAACAGCAGGGTGGAAATAATTGTGATTTCATATAAAAATCATTTCTCTATCAATAATATTTGTAATCTGGTCAAGTAAAGACTGAACAAACAAGAATTTTCAGGATGTGGTTTCTACATTAATGTAGTTTTAAAAAGCATGACAATATCAAGTAATCCAAAGTATTCAGATTACATTACTCACTTTAAGTAATTTAATGGATTATGTTATAAACTACATTTTGGGATATGTAATCTGTAATCTGTAGGGGAATACATTTTAAAAGTTTCCTTCCCAACACTGTATACTGTATATTACATAATTTTATAGTTGTGGAAAAGTAGTTTGAAATTCTGAAAGCCCATAGGAAGAGTCTTGTGCTTCTTTCTTTCACAGAAGTTACATAATAGTTATATATATATATATATATTTAAACACATATAAACATATCATTTTAGGGCGGCTCTTAACATTTTGACCATATGACCTAGACTACTCCAGTAAGATAATATTACTTCCTTAAATGGCAGTTGGCTGGTCTTGCAAGCCTAATTTAAACATTCCATAAGCGTTGCATAAGTTTAAGAAGTTTAGATGGAATATTTCCCATTTCTGCGGAGAGCACGTCTTACATAAGGGCGCTTTAGTTTCATCACATTTTCCCCAGTTGTTAGTTTCCAACAAAAACTGCTCCTACTTCTTTATGACTAATGGTAGTTTTATTGATGTAGATTACAGGGTTTATTGTGAGAATACAACGCACAGTACACAAACAAATCACATGAGGTAAACAGGTGCTGTCACGATTAGGGCTGGGCATCATTAAGAAGTTGCCGATACGCTACATACCTTGGTACACAGGCCACGACACGATACATATCTCGATACAGTGCACTTTTGATTCGATATGGTATATTTCAAATCGATTCGATACAGTTCAATAAAAAATAAAGGCTAAATCATGGCTGTGATAATAAAAGTGTTTGTTAAACCACTTCTTGTGCAAAGTTCATATGAAACACAAACATTTTAATCCTCAAAACAGTGTCAAAATGTCAAATATGTTGCATAAATGAGTTTCCTTTAACTCTACAAGCAACAAAACTGTAGCTCTGTAACAAAATTATTTAGTAAAACACACATAAAAATACTCTTGGTGATATATCGATACAGTAGCCCACGATATCGATACTGTATCATCAATAAACTGATCGATATTCCGATATTTTTGCGCACCCCTAGTCACGATACTCACATTTCAAACTCCATTTCAGTACTAAGAGGTAGACTTGATACTTAATACTGATAATACATGATGATAATAAAAAACACTCTTTATTTAGGCAATAGCATGTGATTTTCAACATTCAGTCGTAGTACTTTCTTTAATATTCCCATGTGGCCTTAGATGTGTGTAATCCTTCAGTAGTCCATAGTCTCCATAGTGGTCCATGGGTAGAGTGACCAGGTTTTCAAAATCAGAAACAGGGACATGCCCGGTTTGGGGTGATTGGCAATAATAAAACTGTGAAACGAGTGAATAATTAATGAAAATGTTTCTGCACTCAGTCAATTCATGACAAACATGGGAGTCAGTATAGTCACATTTTCTTTGTGTTTAGTTCATTTTCTGTATTTTACCTCAACAAATGACAATTTATGCCTCTTTTACTGTTTGCCAGGATCAGATTGGTCAAAAAGAGACACCAGGGACAATTTTTGTACAAAACTGGGACAAATCACTTGTTTTGTATAAATCTGCTGGGACAGGGGACACAGGCTCAAAACAGGGACTGTCCCGGGTAAATAAGGACGTCTGGGCTTCCTGTCTATAGGTCTCTGTGCTCTTATACTTGTTCTGATACATCTCAACATCATTCTCAAATTCAGGAAAAGTTCATTTCTATCCTGTGAATTTAACTTTTTTTAGTATTGATACCTGCTCAAATACTAGTATCTAGTTTCAATACTAGTTTAAGTATCTGATTTTTTTTATACTTTTGACAACCCTACTCTTTAAATATATGAAATACCGACTGAGTTTCACTGTTGTCTTGTGTATGAGCAGGGGTATGGGGCAAAACTGAAATAATACTGAAATGGTCTTGGGGCTTTCCGCATGTGTAGGGGAGTGAATCAGCCGTACAGGTGACACAGGCTGAGTCATCCACCAAATCCTCCATTAGGAAGTGACTAGTCTCTTGTTATTATTATTATGGTTATGATAATTAGGGACTAGATAATCACCGCGAGCTGCTATTTATAATTCATAAACTGAAAATAGAAAGGAGTAGTCATGTAAAATGTTTGGTGAGTGAGTGATTGTGTACTATGTCATATGCAACTACTGCAAGTGTTCTCATGATACTACAATGAATTACACAGAGCACCCTTAAATCATAGTACTTTCTTTTTTTATTCCCATGTGGTGTTATATGCAGTGATGGGGAGTAACAGATTACATGTACCAGAGTTACGTAATCAGAGTACAAATTATGAGTAACTGTATTCGGTTACAGTTACTGTTTCAGTGAGTGGTAATTGGATTACAGTTACTTGGTTGAAATAAATGGATTACACAGAGGTTTTTTCTTGTTTTCACATTTTATTTCTTTTTTTTTCTTTTTTCGGTAATTCCGCTCATTTCCGGACACTAAACCAGGTCT